AAGGGATATTTTAAACCACTGAGGTTATCTCTGTTGTAATACCCAATGCAAATGATCGCCTCCCCCCAACCCGTTCATCCCCAAAAAATGTCAATTTAATGAACACAAAGGGGTAAAAATAAATTTCCGCACTTCCCCTCCTCCGTAAAAATTCTTTTAAAATCCACTGACTCATTCAAATAATCATTACTCACGGGCGATTACCCCCTAAAAGCCATTCCAATAATTTCGAGTGGAAATTTAAACTGTATCAATTGTAACTTCCAGATGCCAAAAAAAGAATACAAATAAAGAGATGGAATAAAAACTGCAATCAGTGCTTTAAAATGAGGGGTTGAGAGGTACGGAGGGGGTAACATTGATTATTAATAACCGTTACGGGAGTACAATAGACCGTGAGGGAAAAAGCAAGAGCAAATGTTCGTCGGAATGGAATGAGTCGTGTGTCACCGGTTCATTTTGTCGTTTCAATTGCAATTCACGCAGTGTTACAGGCGTGTCCCACCATTGGTAGGAGGGAATACCAGACTGGACCCGATACCTTTCTTCTCATTGTTATTTTCTCCAGTCGCCTACATTCGTATTTATGATGATTTTCCGACAATGAGATGATATTTTTTCATTTATCTACTTTTGTCAAGATATTCTTGATTTCAATACTTTTCCCAACTGAGTGATGAGTCATGGGCGGGTAAAATTTCCGAATGAAAACTCCCGGTTATGAACCCTATTTTGACCCAATTGTTTGAAAATTCCAGATGGAACAAATTTTCGAGAGGAAAACTTCTGTTCTCTGTGCATTTGAATTTTCATTTCGTTCTCTTACTTTTCATTTTTATTTCCTTTGAGTTTCAACTTAAACTGATCCGTAAATTCTTTGTTCTTTAAGTAGACATTAAATAATTTATTACCGGTCATTAACGATCGAAAGAATTCAGTATTTTCTCCAGCATTCTAGGGCAATAGGTTTTGTCGATAATTTTACGAGATTTACTTTTACGTATTTTGATTTTGAATTTGAGACGTGAATTTATGCAGCTGTTTCGACGTTTTCGTCTGCAAAAAAATGTTGCACATAATAGCGCAGTATTGCGTGATGGTATGGGAGAAGAGGGTAACGTCTAAATAACAACGATTATCCCAGTGAGAAAAGACCCGCCGCTGTACCGACTGTTATTAGCCTCAATTAGTATTCAGCCGTATGATGAGAGAGAAAGGGGAATAAATAGTTTAGAATTATTTATTATCCCGAGTTGTCAGCGTTGCCGGGAATTACTGCACAATATTCATCGTTACTTTCCGGTGGGATATTATTCACTTCTAATTCAAACTGTTGAGCCACTTCCGTTTCTCATTTCTTGTTCTTCAGTCTATAATTTATCGATCTACTTTCAATTTGTATCAATCGTTATTCAGTTTTCATAATATAATTTTATCGTGACGTAAGCGTCTATTTGTCTCAGATCATAATGAAACTATTGGGGATAATGAAAATATGAAAATATCAAAAGAAAAATGAAAATGAAAATGAAAATGAAAATGAAAAAAATAAATGTTCACCTCAGCCTAGTATCTGGATAAAATCTGATTTCTCTCTTTCATATTTGATTTAACCTTTTTGTCAATATTCAACGCGTCATATATCATCCTTTAATGTCTCTACTGTTGACGCTCACTGGGTCAGGATTTTTCCACCGATTTTCCGCCGAGTGAAATGCCATTACAGCTGCGAGTCGCAAGGGTTTCACCAGAAGAAATAAAGAGTGAGGAAAAAGAAATTCACGGTGAATTATATCGCGCAACGGTTTTATAGATCTAGAGGCATGAGAGACGGGCGTTTTTCCATGCGTGTCTAAATGCGTGGCATCTTTTTGAGTGAAAAAAGGGTAGATTGTAATCGAACATGTTTACACGTGTATTTCAGGGGATAACATTCTAACCATCGGTTTCCTTTTCCATTTTTCAGATACGTCCTACGAGAAGGCATGCAGAAGGGGAAGTGCACCGGCGACCCCTGTTTTGGGGGCAAGACCACTCGATGTAACACCAAACAGAATAGTTGTAAGTATTTTCATCATCAATTCCGTACGTCAAAAATATATTTTACATTTTTTGAAGAAATTTATTCTTCCTAAAATAAAGATTTTTTCCCAAAAAATTGCATTTACACTTTTTTTTTTCAATCTGAAATTTTGATTTTTTTTTGGATCACCGGAGCTAAACTAGTTCTTTCCCCTCTCCGGTCAGATCCATTCAAATTAAATATCACTCAATCCTAAAAAATGTAATTTGAATCATTCCTTTTGGTCCAGCTGATTCAATTCCTCAAAAAAAAATCCCCCAGTGATTCACCCTCTGGTCCCCCACAAAGTACAACAATTTGATACCACAAAAACGTGATGCACGAGTCAAAAAGTCACTTCTCTTTATTCAAATTTGTTGCGAGGGCTAATGGTTATTGTCAGACCGACGATCTGTTGTTTATTTAGCCGTTTTCATCGTTATAAAACTCGTTTGCCGGTGTCTACATCGATCAGTCTCCCCCCGTTACCCCACCTGGGCATTAATTTTTTTTCTTGCAAGAGCAATCGTGTGGAAGGGAAAACATTAAAATAACAATGAGAAATATGTCGAAAGCGAGATAAAAGTGAAATCGTAAACGAAAGAAGTGATTGGGAAAATCGATTTTTCTTTGTCGACGGAAGGAGAAGTATTTTTTCTGTCAGTTCGAATTAACAACGAATGATTTCACATGTTGCCGCCATTTTTAATGAGTCGATATGTATGGATCCATTGGGATTCAGCAGATGATGTGTTTTGTTAGGACGTGGGTATTGTTATCTCTGAATTTTTGACGTTTGAATAATAATCCGTCATCATTTCCACCCGATTTCTCTCAGAAAAAAAATTAATAGGGATTTCCATCGAAATCCGTAATTTAAAAATAGTGTAAAATGGTAAACTTACCGCTCTGGACTCCCAGGAAGTTATCCATTACGTCACTCCAAACACTCGACACTTGATAAAATTCAATAAGTCACTCAATTCTCACTGGCACTACGTTTGATCAACGAAAAAAATGTCGAAATAAATGTGTGAATAGCTAAAATGTAATATCTCACAACGCAATATCGCGTGTCATTCCGGGGAAAACAAGTACCACTATTATCTAAGAAACCGCGTAGTATCCACTTCCGTATACATTCACCAACTGAGAGGAAAACAACACGAATTTATGTAGCAAAACACTTTGTACCGCGATTCAAAATAAATCCCTGTAAACACTCGCAAAAACCAAAATACAATATACGCACGTCACAATTTCCCGAAACACTCTGTCCAACACATATTATATCCAATTTTGTTATTCACTTTTGAATTTCTAATAAAAATTATAAATAATTTTTACTAGAATAAACTGAATTTATATGTGGAAATTCAAGAATTTTTATGAATAAATATTTTGTTATTATTTTTATGGATTGTAATTAAATAATATTGAGATTAATGGTTATTATATGTTTTCGTGATTTAATTGTCGAAAAATTGCGTGAAATGTCAAGAATGAATCTCTAATATAGGAAGAAATTAAACCGTCAAATGGAACCCCAAAAATCCCCCCCCGGGATTCTGCAATGCCGAGAAGAATTCGAATTTTCAGGGAGATCGATTATCTTGAGGGGTTGAGAACCCCAACCCAGTCCCGAAGACATTTTTATTCCCTGCAGTTTCGCCTGATGCTTGACGATGTGCGCCAAAAGAATAAAAATAAAAGATGGGGTGAGAGGGGGGGCCCCCCTTCACTGGTTTTCGGGTGTGCTCACCTCAATGGAAGAAACTCTCGTCTCTCTCTCATTCTTTCCCGGTGAATTCACGGGACAAAGGTGCAAAGGGTCTCTGAAAAATCATTCCCTCTCTCTTTGAATTTCTTCTTTCTTCATTTTAAAGTGCCCCAAGGATCCCTTGACTTCGTTAGGGCACCGTACAAGGTGAGATGGCCCTCCACATCTGCAGTCGTCACCGAGATTTCGTCGCGCCAAGATCAATTTTCGCCACTCATCCGCCATTTCCCGCGTTATTTTTTTTTAAACCTTTTTCAAAAGTTTCTAACGGTTTTCCTGCTTCCACTGAATTTCCTCAATTTTCTGGTGGTGGATTGGTCCCCCTGGCTGATAACTATCTCTCATCAATTGCTGGACTGTTTCCTTACTTGATCTCTCTTTACAATTGGTAAACCCTCATTTTTATTTACGAGTGTTTGTGAGATAGTCTGTGACTAGTCATGAGATTGTGGGTAGATTAGGTATGTTGTGCTGTGAGGAGTAAATGATAAGGTGATAACCGGGGGTACGTGAAAGCTGGTGATAAGGGAAGGGCCACTTAGTGATTTGTCACGCAGTTGTTTTTTTTCTTGAACGTGTGGAAGATCAAATAGCTGAACAGAGAATATTGATAGCCTTTGACAAGCGATAAGATTCCACAAAATTGTCTCTTACGTTTCACTATTCTCTCTTTTATCGTATCTTCTCCTGTCGTCCGGAGTTATCCTGGTATTCTTCTTTTAAGTGTCGGAATATTAAGCATCACTTGAACTTATGACACCGATCCATATCGCGTTACGTTGGACCGATGAGGTGTCGGAGAATGAGCGATGCCAATGACAACGGGGAGGATAATCTTGTCAGCGTTATTGTCAATTATTTCGCAAATAGGGTAAAGAAGATCGATGATGCGGAATAAATTATGAATCCGTCGGTTGAGCGTGGAAATTCCCGGTTCAGTCAACTGGTCAAATTGTTTGATTTGTTCTCGGGTAATTTGTATTTTAGTTAGATAACAGGGCGTTGAGTTACGGAGTAGAATAATTGTAAAAGAGAACAGTGTTGAACCATTTGTCTTGAGAATTGCGGTGATACATCATCTCCGATCAGCTGATCATCTTGGTATGCTGTGAGAGATTATGTTGTTTATTAATGAATTGCACAGGTCCGTGAGGTCTACTTCAAAATAATCTGTTAGGCAATTTACAGATGATTAAAAATGAAACTCGGACTCCACCAATCCAGATTTCATAATAGATTTTCAAGACCAGTGATTTGAATCGGAAATGTCCCCGACAAAAAGGTAATTGAAGAATTTTTGACTGATTGTTGTGGCTATTTTTCAGAATTTCTTCTCGAAACGCTCGTTCCGCTCTAATCCTCTGAAGAGGACCAAGAGCGTGACAAAACTTGAGAGACAGAAACAGCGTGGAGCTGGATTACGAGGTTGTCGCTCGCACGAGTCGCTGTTGTGCAGCCAGGCTGTAACCTCGATGGATTTAGCAGCGGTTACACCAATGCATCCGAGTTTGCTCGGTCGACCTCATTGTTTTCAAGTTACACCGAGCAACGGTCCACCCAAGTACTTCAGCTGTAGAACAGCCCACGAGAGGCAACAGTGGCTGCACAGGTAGAATAATTCATAGCTACGCACTCATTGTGTTATTCAATCGTTTAAATGCATTTAAAGAACAAGAGATTGAACCCCAAGTCAATTTTGCGTCTCAAGTGGAAGTTCAAATTAACGACCACAGCATCACTCAAGCGAGACTTTTTAATTCGTTCAAAGAAAACTGCCACCTCGAGGCAACTAATCCAATGATTGTCCTCACATTTTCGATATTAGAGTTCGATATAAAAATGACTCATGGTCGAACATCGATTATCGAATTGTGACTGGCAAGCGTTGCACCAATTATCCAATTACTAATTGATTACTCATCCATGAATTTGCAGCATTCGAAAATCAGTTCAGCCAGATGCTGAGCAGACCCGTCGCACTGATAATTCCCTGCAGATATGGCTGCTGGAAGCCAAAGGTGTTCCCACGAAGAAACGCTACTTCTGCGAAGTCTGCCTGGACAACACGCTGTATGCCCGAACAACAGCAAAACTCAAGACAGAACTGTGCTTCTGGGGCGAGCACTTTGACTTCCATCTCCTTCCCTCGGTTAATACGATTCAGGTGAATCTGTATCGTGAGGCTGATCGCAAGAAGAAACGCGACAAGAACGTGTTGATCGGCTCAGTGAGTATTCCCGTTCAGAACGTGACCTCCCGTTACCTAACCGAGAAATGGTACCCCGTGGTCAGCGACAAGGGGCCACTCAAGGAGCCTCCAGCCCTCCGGGTCAAGTGTCGCTTCCAATCAGTGGACATTCTACCAGTTCAGGTTTATCAGGAGTTCTTGGAGTACCTTAAAACTGATTATCCCTCTCTCTGCGAGCGGTTGGAGCCCGCGATTGGGGTCAAAGCCAAGGAGGACATTGCGACAGCTTTTGTGGCAGTCATGCAGCGTGAGAAAAAGGCACCGCAATTTCTCGCTGATCTCGTTATGATGGATATTCACAGGATTGATGATGAGCGCCTGACATTCCGTGGAAATTCCCTCGCGACGAAAGCCATGGAGGCATATCTCAAGTTGACCGGTGACAGGTACCTCCAGGAGACTCTAGGGCCCGTTGTTCGGGCGGCGGTTGAAGGTGGTGACTGTGAGGTTGATCCTTTGAAGGTTTCCTCTCTCGCGGCTCTTCACAAGCAACAGCAGAATCTCCGCAATGCTGTGGAGCTCGCTTGGAGCAGAATTCTAGCGAGTCACGCTCACTTTCCATTGGAGCTCCGCGAGTGCTTCCGAATCTTTAGGGAGAGGCTCAAGGAGATGGGACGCGAGGATATCGCTGATAACCTTATATCTGCCTCCATTTTCTTGAGGTTCCTATGCCCCGCCATTTTGTCACCATCACTGTTCAATATTACTCATGAATATCCAAATGAAAAGGCCGCGAGGAATCTCACACTCGTCGCAAAGAGTCTTCAAACTCTTGCGAACTTCACAAGATTCCAAGGAAAGGAAAACTTCATGGAGTTTATGAATGATGTTCTCGAGCGGGAGGCACCCGCGATGAAAAATTTCCTTCAGCTAATCAGCAATCCACTACCCAAAGACAGCCCATCGAACAATTCACTGGAATTCGATGGCTATATTGATTTGGGGAAACAATTGTCACTTCTTCATGCTCTCCTACGTGAGAGCATTGCAGGAACCACTTCTCCATCCTCGTCGACTCGACTTCCAGACGTACTGGATAGGATCTCAGTGGCCCTGGAGCAACCGGGCCCCAGCCCAGTTTCCACAGCTCATCGTTATCCAAATCTTCAGAACAATATATTTAGATATAACGATCCAACGATTGCAAACAGCAATACAAATTTATCAGTCTCTGCCTCGTCGACGTTATCCAATCACAGTACCTTGAACGGAACTTTAAGAGACAGTTCTGAGGTTCTTCAAAGTAATACTCTGGGTCACCCACCGGGGACAAGATCCCCAAATGTTATTAGGGCAGCAACTTTGCCAAGAAACGCTTACCTCCCGAATGGGAAGCTTCAACTGCAGATCACTAGTGAAGACTACCACCCACTCGAACCCCCAGCCTTTGTATCGAGATCTCCAACCCCGATATCTCGACAGCACCGACCCGGAATGAAAGGGTATAGACTGACAGCCTCAGCGAGCCTGGCCAACGTCAACCATTGCCAGACTATTCCAACGAGTCCGACTCGATCCGAGTCTCACAGCAATCTCAAAGACTCGAACTTTAACATCAACGTCAATCAAACCAATCAGACAAATCAGAACTCAAGTCACCGGCACGCCAAGGTTAACCATGACTTGCACGACGATAACTACATCCACAATCACTACAATGTGTCGAGGTCGGCCTCTCGCAATCATTGCAAAGAGGAAAATGCTAACCAGACACAGCAGCAAAACTACAACAACGTCACCAAAACAACAGTCAATGCGAATCCCATCAACCCTTCTAACCTCACTCTAACGATTAATCAACCGAACAATAATTACAGTAAGGGATCTACAACCAATGGAAATCTGGACGAAATTTCTGATCTCTTGAGGTATGCGGACGACGAAGTGTCAGAGTCAAAGTCCCAGAAGGGATCGCAGATATCAATATCACAATTGTCTAATGTAGCTTCTTCGGGGTATCAGAGCTTCGCTGCCTATAGTCAGTCCTCGAGTCCTGTTGACCTGAGTAATAATGCCAATTCTCATATTATGAGCGCTGCACCTCTGGCCTTTGCCAATCCTGTTTATCACATGGAGGCAAGCAGGGGCGGACGGAGAGGCAGCACTAGCTCAGAAGAACGAGAAGGCGGAGGTGTCGAGGGGGTCAGAGGAGTGGATCTTAGTCCTTCACCTGCGACACAGGGGAATATGAGGAATCGAGGGAATGGACAGCAGTGGAGGCAAACACCTGGACACCGAGGCATTGCAGAAGGCCAGAGTGGCTATAGCACAAAGCTCAGAAGAAGGCTCTCTCTGGATTCTAATAGGGATCTCAGTGATACCAGTGAGGATGAGACCTGTGCCACCAGGAGGGGCAAGAGCAGAAGCCACAGGAGCATTGATCAGGTGAGTCCAATGAGTGTTCTCAAATCGATTCATCGAGACCATTTGGTCAATAGACTTCGATATTGAAACTTGTGAGAAATGAAATTACAATATATAAATATCGAGAATAAATCGGATTTCCAAAATAGATTAGACTTAATTAGATCCTCGCAAGGCGAGAGAAGAAACCGAACTCTCCCTAACGAACGAGAATAAATACGAAAGAAAAAAATACGAATTAACATCAAATGATTAACATAACTGTGTTAATGACTACTAAATCAGCATCCATACGATCGTCAATAACGAAAGTAACTAACAATCTTCATTTTTTTCTCATTGAAACAGTATGAGGTGGAAATCGAGAGGCTGCAGTGCAGTGTCGACCGTCTCCGGGCTCGATTAGGTGCATCAGAGGATGGCGATGTCGATAGCATTGCACCTGACACCAAAATGAAGAACCTCATTGCCAGGTATTTTCCTTCTTTTAATCTTAAATGTTTCTTTTTTTTTCTATGGAAAGTTTCTGCTGGAGTTGTATCGAAACGTCGTGACTATTCCGTTAATTTAATCAATCGCATAACGTAATTGATCACAATTGATCAATTCGTCAGTCATTCGATTGATAAATTGGATGACTCATGGTGATAGAGAATTAATCGATGTTGGAAACTGATTGTTTTAACCTATTATGTGTTCCTATGCATTCTTTCCGCTGCATTTGGTAATACTCTGGCTTGATCTGGATTCATTGTGTAAGGGAAATTAATACTTAAGCTTTTTTTTTTCATTACTCAATCACACGACAATGAATTCACTTATCTCGACACGCGGTTCTTCAATGTGTGTTTGGTAATACAGACAATAACATGGAAACACATAAATTAATCACTATTTTTTGGATTATGCACGATTCGGTTAGAAAGAGTTTTCGATGTTTTTACCTAGAATATTTGAAGGCAGAGTGCAAATTGAGAGCAATTAATTTGTACTTTCAAAATTGTACTCAATTTCTAATTATTACCGTACAATTAATCGCTCTATATATATATATATATATATATATATATAGAGGTATCCCTATATGTATCAAAATTTTCCAAACATTTTGACGTCTTTCGTCAAATTTGGAATTCAATTTAAGGAATACAGCGATGAATTGTCCACGTGATGAATTACTGTAATTAAACAAATGACATCACAATTTTGTAATAATTGAAATAATTAAGCTCACTGTTAGTAAATTTTTTGAGAAAGCGAAAATTCAAGGAATTTATAACAGTGCGACTCCTTCACCACTCCCATTCGATATCAATAATAATTTGATACTAATAGAACGAATTATTGACCTCCAGTTTGATATCTGTGGAGGAGGAGCTGCGTCGCGAGCAACAGAAGATGTCAGCAGCACTATCGTACAAGCAGCGCGTGATAGATGCCCAGGAGCAACAGATTGCTGTCCTAGATGCAACAAATACAAGATTGATGTCATCAAACACAAGACTATTGTCCGCATTAACCTCCCTAAAGCAACAGTACAGTGCAAAAGCGCAATCCAACAGCAGTGAGGCTGCTGCATTGTTACAAAATATCGCTGACATCGGTGAACTCAAGAGTTCATCCTGCTGAATCATCAAAAGCAGTATCAAATGATCAAAAGAGAACACAACACCAGAGGCTTGAACTAAAGGTGAAAGTTGATAGGATAGTGTTGAAATCGTAATCAATCAGTTGAGACAAATGACGGAGGAAATATTTATAAGCTGTTTAGCTTACATAGACGTAGATCTAAATTATTGTTTGAAGATTAACGGTAAGCTTAATCATTTGTACGAGTTAACTCATAATTTTTGTATTATACTGCCCAGAGAAGACCAGTAGGTCATTAACAGGAGTTATAAAACCGTAGAAACATTTTTTTTTGTTTTTTTTTTTTCATTATCGTGTACTTCAGGCATTCTACGTACAATTGCCTGTATACACTGATAGATAAAACTACTTTTGAGGAAGAATATTGACATCATACAAGTTCATTACTTATCAAGTCATTAATTATTTACTGTTTGTAAGTAGTTGTTTACTTACTGAGGAGTAATTATGGACTTCATACTATTATTGTTTAGTAATTAATATTTACTGGCTTACGATTTGGGGAGGAAGTAACCATTTTGTTTATTGAAAGTAGTTTTTTCTGTTAGTGTATCCGTTGGCGATTATTTTTTTGATTATTCAGAATCATTCGGGCATTTGCCCTGCACGCGACTGATTCCATGGCATAAAAACAATAGAGGAGATTTATGGACAAATTTTAAGGTAAACCAGATATTTATTTAGCAATTGCTACCAAAGATCAAGTGTTTTACGTTTGTAGATACGAATCGAGTAAGTTATTTTGGTTATTTGAGAAGTCAGAAGAGAAATGACAGGATAATTTTTATAGGTGAAAATTTGATTTGAGGTGAGATTTACTTGAGGTGGTGATGAACTGAACCGATAGGTTGGGCGAATTTAGAGGTGAAATCAGTGATTTCGGATCTATTTAAAGACCGGTTGGATTATCTGGAAAAGATCATTTACTCCAAAATTGGGATTCCTAATTACTCTGGCAATTAATCGTTTTTTTTTAATAATTGTTACCTAGCGTTCTAGCGGTTGTCAACGACTAGAACGCTAACTAACAATTATCGGAAAAAACAATTAATTGGCGGAGTAATTAGGAATCCCAATTTTGGAGTAAATTATCTTTCCGAGATACTCCATCCGGCCCTTAAAATAATTCGTAACCAGTTTGGGACCGTTAATTTTTCTAAGAAAACAGGTGATGACCCTTTCTCGATCTACTCGGTTTAAAAATTCATATGTAGCTTTGTTTTGTCATTTTCCTCGTTTTACATTACAAGAAAATGGATAATCATCGTAGCCATATCGAGGTAGTTCAAAAAAAAAATGCAATGCGCGTTATTTTATGTATGATAGGAGAGAGATGACGTCAAAATATGAGAGGAGAAAAATCATGAAAAACGTCGGGGATTATTAGGCTAATTCTGATTATGAATTAGTTGATGAGAAAAAGTATTATCACTTCGAGTTGTATAAAAATAACGATAATCCTTATTGAAGGTATTAATAAATTAAGTTGTTTATGATCGATTGAATTCTCGGATACTCTTGTGTATAGAAAGCAAAAAGAGGGAAATTCCTTTTTTTTTTCCTGTCTATTGCTGTTTATTTTTACTCACGCGTTGATGCATCGGTGGATGCAAATGAGTATTTTCTGTCGCAAAATTAATATATTATTCATGGATGTAATCCTGTTGAGTAATAAATTTCATGAGGAACAAAAATCTCAATTTTTGAGGGAGATGCGGTGAATCACTAGATTGTAAATTCAATAAGTATTTTCCATTACTTTGTTTTTTCTATTGTAAGCTATGTGTATTTAAGCATTTAGAAACGATTATTATTGTATGAACAAATAAATACGATTAGAAGAGAAATTCTGTATTTGATTTCCCCTTTAGTTCAAGTATTATTTGAAGTAGAAGAATTGTCTCTTTTAAATCAATTTTGGGACAGAAATTTCAAATTTTTTTTGGCTGATAAGAATAAACAATTGATTATCATTGATTGAACCTGAACAATAATTTATCTCTGCCGGTAAGGAAGATATTTCTTGCATCAAGTGAAGATGAAGTTGAAATAAAGATTTCAAGTGAAAGAGAAGATTTAATCGTCATTGAATTCCACGAATTACATGTAGATGGTGTTCAGCTCAAGAACTTCTACTCTCAATAATGTAGTTCTAATCAACCGCGAACGGAGAGGAAAATTAAATTCATCTATCGACGAAACTATTCATCCACTCCTTAACGCGACACAAAAACGTCGAAGACAATAGAAGCCAGTAAAAAAAACGAGAGAAAACTTAACAATGACTGATGACAATCGCCTTTGAAATGGAAATTCCAGTAGCCGTGACGTCAGTAATTGAAGGAGAAATAAAAGCGATAGATAGAATTCCATTAGAATGAACAAAGAGCATCATTTCGAGAAAATCCCAATCAAAGCTCCTATCATAAACGAAAAAATAAGTGGAATATTTATTTAGAAGAGATAAATTCCTAATTGAACATCAATTTTTTCATGACTAGTGAAAAAACTTGAGTTCACAAAGAGAAAAAGTCGTGTCACCTATAACGACGCTTCAACGTGATTAGAATAATAGAAATAAAATTCCAAGTTGTTGAATAGAATTACAATTTACCTTATCCAAAATTGTTTCACAATCTCTGTCAATAGATCGCTTCTTCTTCGGATTGATAATGGATTACGCAAGGCTTCGATATAACGAGTTGAATAAACTTGAAATTTTCAGTGGTGATTAAATGTTTGATGTTAATCACGTGATTGTGAGAAGAACTTATCAAATTGTGGATTTCGTTTCAATGGCGCAATTCGAGTCCACGAAGCATTGACCTTGCTATTGTTTCTTTACAGACCCTTAGAAAATAATAATAATAATAATAATAATGATGAAACAAAACAATAAAACTAGTCGATAATAAATCATTCTAATTGTGTGATTGATTAATTGTTTCATACTTGAATAATTTCTTTTAAAAACAATTTCTGGTCAGAGAACATTCCACAAACTCCGAATTTTGTGGACATTCCTAGAAGTTCGATAATATTTTTCTCGATTTATCCATTGTTTCCCTTCTATGTTTAAACAGTAAATTTCCATGAAATGTACACTGATGAGGAGTCAATGACATTTTTTACGAAAAACAGTTGTTCAGCTGTGAAATATTGTCATCTATAGTGTTATGTCGCGGTGCTATCAACTCAATTCAAGGGTATACTGTGAAAACGGTGATAATGTAAATAAACTAAACCTTCAGCTGTGAAAAATAAATTTCCAAGAAGAAAAATGTAAACAGTGAGTTGAACTCGAAAGGGTCATGGCCAAAAACGTGGTTGTTATTCAAACGATGATGAAACGTTTGTGAGTAGTTTATTCTGGTGTTCCACAGAGGAATTTTTTTTTTTTATCTCTGTTGCCGTTGGTGGAAGTGAGAGGGAGTGATGAGCAATTCCGTAACTTAAGGCGGTATTGTTGATAAGGTAAAGCGAACAAGTGTGATAAGAACGAAATATAAGATAGTGATAGCAGACGTCGACACTGGCATATCTCAAAGTCAATGTCCTATGAAGGACTTGGTCGACCACCATATGAGAACGGGAAACAGATATGTACCACAGAATTTAATCGAGTGACACCCGTGATTAGTGTTATCAAATCTCCTTGTTTCAGAAATCGTCATTTCGCCGTTCTATTCTTTCAAACATCGCCCATTCAAAAAATTGACTAAAACATCTCAAGAATTTGCCAATTCCATGGATTTTTCATTATTGATATAAATATCATGATCCAATGATTTTAATAAATCGATATTATCGTTGAATTTTTTTCTCTATAATATAATAATAATAGAATCAAATAAAAATATCAAGTGCCGATTAAAAATCATAAGAATAATTTTCCAAACTCCTCCCTCTCCTGCCATTCGACCAATTGCTTTCTCCAATTAAATCCCTGCCAATAATGAATATCAATCATCGATTGAACAATGACAAGAGTCATAGGTCAGTTTTTGTGTCGTAATAATATTAATGAGTGTGGAGTAAAAGTTGAGTGAAAAGTGCCCCCTGTGAAACGAAAAACCAGTACTGAGAGGGTGAGGGTGCAAGTCCGCAAGAAGAATTGCATCTGACGAATAAAGAGGAGCAAGAGAAGTTGATATATATATATGAGTATGTACATGTGCATGTGCATGTGGCATTCTGTATATAGAGTGGAATCAGGAAGAGAGCGTTGCACTGCTGAGGGTACACTGTACCAGTGAACCCGGCGTATCGTGAGTGCCTTTTGAGGGGTGAGAGGGTGTTGGGTGGTGGTGAGAGGGGATGAGAGGGTGTTAAAGGGGTTTTCACCCCCTCCGCTTTCCACCTCTCATCCCCTCTTTCGCCCCTTTCACATGGTTCTGTAGCTCCTGGGGAGTGGGAAGAGTGATTTTGAAAGGGGGTTGGCCCCCCTCTCGGGGAATCGTGGAGGGGAGAATCAGGTGCGGAGGAAAAGGTGATTGCACCCTGGATATGTCAACCTACCCCAATTTTATTTTGAGTCAATGGGAGATTTTTGATTGATTAAGTTCTGGGGGGGGCACGGGGGACACTCGAGGGGGCGAGCATACAATTAACGAATCCCTAGGTGAATATCAACTGAAATAATTGAAACCAAAGAAATGTAAAGGGATTAATTTCAGAAGAGCTTTTGTATCGAAAGGATTTGATACCTGAAAGACTGATATTTTTCAAATTGATCATCTGCCCCCCTCCCCCGTCCCTAAAAAATCCCAGCCCCGAAAAAAAAATCTAGACTCCCAGACCTAGACCAACGAGTGAGAGACGACTAATCGCTAGAGACGGAGTGATCCTCATCTCGCGAGGGGAAAAAAAAAACCTCAGCGGGTGGCAGGAGTAGGGGTGGGGGTAAATGTTAGGGGAAATTTGAAATTCACGGTGGTAGGGGGGATAGGGGACAAAAGCTAGGGGAAATCCTGGGGTGATAGAGACCCCCTCTACTGGGCTCTTTGAGGTGGCAAAGTGGGAGGGAAAATTTAGTGCGAGAGGTTTTTGGGATGAGCGGCGGGGTGGGAGGGGTGGTGGGAGGACTTGAGGGGAGGTAAAAGAGAGAAAACGAGGAGGAGAGCAACGACGACGGCTAAGGAGAGGTCATTGACCTCAGCGGCTCGGTGCCGGCTGCTAGAGCGCTAGCTGCTGCTCTCCTCGTTTCGTTCCGTGTTCCTCCTATACCTCGTGGCGCGTTTCTTTTTTAATACCATTTTTCAAAAAGAAAAACTGATAATAACGTGAATTAACATTGAAATTATTGTGAGTTTTGGTGGTGGGGATGGTGGGGATTGATTTCCAATTTTTCCACGATTTTCTGCACAGAAATTCCAAATTCCAAGTGGTTATTCAATTCTCTCCAAACAACTCATAACTCAAATCTGTGAGGAACAGAATTTATGGGTTTTTCGGTTGTTATTGATTGCTGTAATGACTTTTTAGACGTTAAAATAATATTGAGTTGTTTTTGCTATTTCTTTTGGGTTGGGGAGTGGAGGAATAAAGATAAGGCTTGAGTATATGGGTTTTATTGGGGATTGAAGTGATTTTTGGAAAGGAAAATCGTGGAAAAATTTGTAAAAACGATGATATTAATATGATTGACAACTAGAGAATGTTATTTCCGTGCATTCTCGCTTTCCCCCCATTTGATTGTACAGTAAAAGTGCCCACGGCCTTGTATATACGAGTGAGTGAAAATCCTTTCGCCTCCACAACGATCAACCGTATCGTGTGTACACTATTAGAGGGAATGAACTTTGTGGATAAAACTTGCGAAGTTAAAGGATATTTCGGTGGAAGGTGTTGTCGATACATCTCTGATTATTTTTGGGTGAAATGTGAATCGAGTGGTGTTTAGTTGAGGAATTGTTCTCAAACTATTTACTACAATTTTAGGTGAAAAAATATTGCAGTGGGAGTACTCACTCAGGCTCGAGACTTCAACTGGTGTCGACCTCTTCGATTTTTCATTTTAAAAAATATTCTCAGCCAACGAGAAGTGCTGGAAACATTATACTAATGTTCTTCGGAGTTGTTGAGTGATGAGACAAATCCAATTGTGAGAGGAAGTGGTTGTGAGTGAATTGTGAGTGGAGTAACCTTGAGGAGATTTTTCGGGAAGACGAGAACCTGTGGAGACACAATTTGAGTATAAATTCGTTGTTTTTTTTTTTGAGGCTTGAATTTAGGTCTACTTTTGTTACGAGTGGTTGGGTTGTTAGCTTATTGAGTTTTCTTGAGCGATTTGTGAGAAATTGGACGGTTTCTCCCTCGATAACTACCCTAAACCAAAATTACCTGATGATGAGTGGTTCGAGTAGAGCAATTAGAATTCAAATGACCTTTGAGCCTTGAGTTTCTTTGAGCTATTTTGTGAGAGAATGATTGTGGTTCGAGGGGTGGCTACTCTGAATTGGAATAATTTGTTGTGGTCAGTGGGAGTGATTTGATTTGGGATTTTGTGGATGAAAGTTCCGAGCGAATTTATGAGCGATTGATTATCCGCGTGGTGGGGTAAATTAAAAAAATCGGGGTTAGCTGTGGTGATGAGTGATTTAAGATCGGTTTCATTGTGTGTATCTGAGCGAATTTGCGAGCGAGTGAAAATGATGCGCATGGCGTTGGCGAATTCGTAATACCCGGGTTAAACGTCCGGTAAATATATCTCAATGCTGTACATATACCACTGTAGTTACGTTCTCCGGCGCTTCTCTTTCTTCTTCTTCTTCTTCATATTATACATTTTGGTCAATGAAAAAGTGACGGAGGTCTCTCGCTTTCTCGGGCGCTCGGAGATTCCGTTGACGGATATTTCGTTGCCGGAAATGGAATGCGGGAAAAATTTGAGGTCATGCGCGTCACCATCGATTCACTCACTTGAGTAAACGGTAAAGTTAAAGTTCTCTTTGTTTTTTAAATAAACAAAAACTACTTATGAGTTTAAAAAAAAAGGTAGTCGCGGTAAAATTTCTCACGATTACCGATATAATTTTCGCAACATTGCCATCATATTCGAAAAATTTCTACATTGGAAATGAATAAAAAAAAAAATTGTTTCATCGATTTTAATTGACGTTGATTAAAAAACACGAGACCGGAACCTAACCTTCAATTCCCTGATCTACCCCATTGAAACGGTCTCAAAACCACCTTACGGAACCGGAAATTTCCCCACCAATTCATCTTCCCCCTCCACACCCATCTCAAACCCCATAAATCCATTTTGCCCCAGCCCTCCCCTCCTCAAACGTAAACAAACCGAGGGAATGAGTAAGAACTGGTGCAGTGCATGAAAGAGCGGTGAAGAATTGGAGAAAAAAAAAAAAAATTCTCATCCCCTCCCTGCGCTTATCCCGTTTGTATTAAAAACTCAAACAGCGTTCGGTTGGTGCACGTGTCTCCCCCTCAGACTCCAAATAAAAAAGAAAAAAAAAAATGAACGAGTTAACCTACGATAGTAAAACGTTAAACCATCCAAGGTACAACCACACAGTAGGGACTAACGTGAACGTAAAGTGAGTGGAAATCATGTTACTGGTGGTTAGCTTGGCGTCTACGGATACGGTAATGCTAACGGGAATGAGAAAACGGGAACACCACGACCTAGACGGGGCAAAACCAGTGTGCTGAACAGAATTCAAGAGAGTGAGTTTGAAAGGCTACGGAATTTTAAAAGTGAAAACTGCGTGACGATTACACATCCCGATTTTAAACCTCGTTTCCCCTCCAGGTACAGTGGGCAGTTTACTGTAATTGGATTTTCTTCCTTTCGTTTTCATTTTTTTTTTTAACTGATTGTGTTTAGCGTGGAGTGCGAATTTTTTGAATGGATGTGATCGGGGAATGGTTGTCGGATTTTGCTGTTTGCAGACGGTAATTTACTGGTGATCAACGGCCATTTTTCGCGGATTATTTACGATTTACTGGTCGATTTTGGTAATTTACCGTTTATTGTCGGTAATTTACTGTTTGTAATTGGTAATTTACTGTTTTCGCGATGATTTTTTACTCATTGCAGGTCTGAATTGGCGATTGGGATTCGTCCAATTGTTAAGTGCTTGCTTGAGGTGATTTACTGGTTAGCGACAGTAATTTGCTGTTTACTGGCGGTAATTTACTGTTTGTAGTAGAGTATTCGCTGTCTAGTAATACACAGCTAGTTTTTACCCAATATTTTTTACTGCTTGTCGTAAATAAACATCCCAGTTAAATAATAATATATTATTTCTCACAGTAATTTACCTTTTCACTGAAAATAATCTTTCCCCCAGTTTACTCACGATAACTCACTAGTCGCACGAGACAACTCATTATTTGCACAAATTTCAGACACTGTTAAAAAAGTTGAACTGAATTTTCCGGCATACAATACTCAAACCTTCACCCTCAATTTCCCCTTTCCAGTAATTTGCACGTAAAAATTCCCCAGTCGTAATTATCATTCACCAATATCCCTATTTCCAGGAATATCGGAACAAACCGACAATGACATCGATCAATGTGTCATTAACCATCAATACTGTGATAAAATGTAAACGCGAGTGAAGTGGTGATTAATTTTGATTTCCCATCATTCTGTGAACCTGATTGGTAAAAAGTGAAGTTTCCGGATTTATTTTCCTTTTTCTTTTTAATTTTCCGTGGTATCCAGTGGAGTTTCTCCGGATTTCCTGGTGAAGAGGCACTCGACATTGATGGAGTTGAATCGATCATCCAAAAATGTGAGCAATTAATTTTTATCATTATTGACGATTTATCCGAGTTGTTCGAGGCTTTTTGGATTTTCGTGGATTTAATTTCGCCTTTTTTTTTTTCTTTTTTTCTTTGGCGTAATTGTGACGTGCCTCGAGTCGTGCGCATTGTGGGGTGGGGGATGATGGAGTGGTGGGGGCGCATAACGAGAGGGGAAGGTGGGGAAGAGGGGAGGAGTGGCAGTGGTAGAGCTAGGGGTCGACGACCGAGGCCTCGGGAGGTATCGGTAGGGCTCGGGCAATGTCGGCACTAGGTCAGTGATGGAGTCACTGGCCGCCGTGAGCGTCGAGGCAATGACACCGAGGCTTGAGCGAGTGCGCCGGTTATCCCCTCCCATTTTACTCTTTGAGGGGATTCCCCCACTATCGCGAGGTGGATGGACGCCTCCGTTGACACGAGCGAATTCTCTTCCTTCTATCATTATTACAGAAAAATTGCAATTGATGGAGAAATTATCGTTCTCAAATTTTAAACAATTGTTCCGTTCATTAAAGATTTAGACTTCACTCCGAATAATTAATTGGGGGAGATTCAATTAATTATTCTAACTTGAAAAACGAACATCGTTTATAAAAATAATAATTCCAATCATGGATTAATTATTAATATTCATTATATATATTCATTAATCGTTGATATTGATCAGTGATTATGATTCGCATTAATGATTGTGAGCCATTGGTCGTTATTATTATTCATGATTATTAATTAATGACTCGGTTGAATTTTTGTGGGTGGGAAAATTTTAAAGAGGTCATCCCGTATTCTTTGAGTGTCCGATGAGTGATGCGTATAGCGGTATCGTGAGTAAGAGCTGCTTACCCGGACAACTCTCAGGAGTACCTAACGTCTAGGTTACAAACAGCTCCGCTATTCCAACACCCATTGGTAACATCCAACGTTTGTCTTTCTCCTTTGCGGCTTATCCCCCACCCTTTTTCGTGTATTCTGCACGTCCGGCAATACAACTTTTCTTCTCTACTCGAGTCACTCAAACTTTCACCCACTCCTCGACTACGGGCTCTCACTTGCATTCACGCTCTGACTAGTTTTGCCCGCATTAAAAAATATCTATAAAATACGCAAATACGGGCCCAATTTCATATATTTTAATAGATCTTTTTCTAATCGTTTGCAGATTTTTATTTCGCTGCTGGAGCATGTAGAGGATGACTAAGGAACGTGGCTCCATTTTTTTTTAGAGGAATCATTATTCGTATTGGATATTTTTTTTTAGAGAGACAGGAATATCGATCCCCATGATTTTTGGGGCACAAGTAATCGCGAGATGATTGATTAAATGGAATGATATTCTCTTGTCATGTATTATTTTTCATCCGGGAATTCCCGGATCGTTTGATCTTCACTCCCAATCGAAAAATTGACTGAGGAAGTGCCTGAAGGGCTCTTCCGGCGGATCCTAGAGGAGCTTTCGATTCCAGTACAGTTCAATCGTCTGAAAATAGCGGTGGTATTTTCGACTCATTGACATGTCATGCAAACTGTTCAATGGAGTCCAACTGAGAAACGTCGGCAACTTGTTTTTAAAAAAAAAAATGTAGTTCGAGTCGATACGGCACTGCTCATGCCAGTTACATATCTCCAGAGCTATTCCCCTGGTAAAAATACACCGTGGGAGCGATGACTCGGGTGTAAAAATACATTGAAAATGCAATCGTTTTGTGTAGACTGGAAAAAAACGTACGGTTTTGTCAAGAGAATCCCGTGATTTAGGAGATTTTTATGCTCTTCATTTTTTCAAGTTATTTGGGGATTCAACGGCCGTTAAAAAACCATCAGACAGTTGAATCATTCGAAAACATCCTGGGGATCATCTCAATTCACGCCAAATTCAATTTTATCACCTGCAAAAAATTTAACTACCACTGGAAATCACCAACTAATTTTTATCAATCTTATACTTTCTTCCCAGTAAATCCCAGTTTTAATGACAATTTTTCATTTTATATAAATTATGGACAGTGAGGGTTTATCAACGAATTATTTGACCGAACTGAGGGATAATTATCCGATATTGCAATCGATAAAACTTCCAAAAGAAATCTGACATTCTGTTCCAAAGGCTGCACATGTGCAATTCCTGGGATATCTTTACATCGATGGGTTAATATATCGGTGGGGTATTGGTGAGTGCATCGTCCTCGATGGGGAGAAAGTAACATAGACTCGTAATAGTCGAACTGTCAGTGTCTAGCCTATACCAAATAACCCGAGACTGAAAAGAGATTCGTCCAGTTTTATCCATTACAAGTTTAATATGAGATTTCAATCGTATCGTGCAACAATTTAACTGACTCTCGTGCAGTCACAGATTGTGTAAGAACATCACCGGTTGTATTTTATATTCTGGACAATTG